ATCCTAGCCAGTGCCTCCCTAAGAAACGGCCACTCCACTCTATCATACGCCTTAGCCATATCTAGCTTCAGCGCAATGTTCGGTGCCCGCTTCCAGTCTGCATGGGAGATATCGTGGATCATCTCATGGGCCAAAAGTATGTTGTTACTAATGACCCGATCCTTGACGAAGCCACTCTGGTTCGGAGAGATGAGGGAGGGAAGGATAGGGGAAAGACGGCCGTTAAGAATTTTTAAAATAAGCTTATTGGTCACGTTACACAGACTGATGGGCTTGTAGTCGGACCAAGAGCTCGGATTGGGTCTTTTGGGAAACAAGACGATAGAGGTAGCCGTGAAGGAATTCGGCATCCGGTGAGCGGTGAAGAAATCCAGCACCGCCTCCTCAACATCAGGCTCGAATATATCCCAGCAGACCTGATAGAAGAGGGAAGAGAACCCATCGGGGCCAGAAACGCTGTTGGGATCAATCCCAAAAACAGCATCCCCAACCTCCTCCTTGCTCGGAAGCTCGCAGAGGTCAACAAGGTCGACCGAAGGAGGGATGGTAGGGAAGAAAGAGACGGTCGGGGCAACGAGGGACCCTCTATCAGAGGTGAAGAGGGTCTGGAAGTGAGCAACAGCCGACTCCTGAATCTGAGACTCCTGGGTCAGGGATGACCCATCAGCCTCAATACTATGGATGTACGACTTAGCACGCTTCTGCCTAACGAAGCCCTGGAAGAACCTAGTGTTCCGCTCGCCCTCTGCCACCCAGCGAACGGCCACATTCTGCTTCCAGAAATCCTCCTCCATAAGGAGTCGGAGCTGGTACTCGGCGTGGCAGCGGTGCATCGCAGTCCTATTCTCTAGAGTGGGATCCAGATTATAGGCCCGCTCAGCCTCCGCGTGCGCACTCTGAGCTGCAGAAAGGCACTGATGGAGGTTTCCAAAAACATCCCAGTTCCACTATCTCAACCTACGCCGTAATCTGCCGAGCTTAGCTTCGAGATTGCGCATCCCGAAGAGCCCAGTCGGTTGAAGCCAGGAATCCCTGACAGTGTCATGGAAAGAGTGGTGGTGAACCCACATGTTCTGGAACCTAAAGGAAGCGCAGCGGGGAGTGCTCGAGAAGCGACACCTAATGAGGAGTGGTGAATGGTCAGACCCAAATCGAGTGAGATGCATGACGGTCGTGACCGCAAACACCTTCGACCACGCTTCAGAGACCAAATCACGGTCGAGCCTCTCTCTGAGGTCGTCCCTAACCCACGTGAAGGGCTCACCCTCACATCCAGCATCTATCAACTCACAGTCCGTCACAGTCTGAGCAATGTCCCCACGCCCGAATGAAAACCAATACGACGTGAGAGATAGTCAAAGTCAGAGGTGCGAATCATCGGCTCAATAAAGCCGACAAAATCCAATCTATGATCACGAATGAGAAAGCGTAGGTGAGCGAGAGTTGCCCTATTAGCCATTCCCCGTCCATTCCAAGTAATAGACGTGATAGACATATCAGCAATCAGAAGAGCCACCGGATGGGGTCCGCCTGTGGCGAGGCTGAGTCAGACCACCTGAGGGAGGGGGTAGGTGGCGAGAGGATCGACGAAGAACCGGAGAGACAGTCCGCCTCGTCATGCGCGGTGTGGGTATGGTATTCGAGGGGGAACGCCCTCGGAAAGCGCTCGTGGCCTGCGACTCGTCAGGCTGAGCAGTCTAACCAAGACTGACACTAGGTGCCTGCCCCATGTCCGGGCGTGCCTCCTGTCTGTCATGGTGCACGAAAGCACTGGAGGCAAAACTCTCACACGAGACATCGTGCTGAGCGCGGTTAAGACCGCATGCCTGCCCAGAGAGGAGAGGGGTGTTGGGATCTGTGAGGATCTCGTTATGTACAAATCACGAATTCAATAGCAAACGTAAACCTATGCGCAGCGGATCTAAAGGTTTGACGTAGAGAACTTACGGCTTAAAATTTATGTAGATCTGGTTGACCACGAACGGTTGACCGCAATTGATTGACCACAAATCACGTCATGGGTTGCGCGAACAAGATCAGATCAAAACCGGATCAAATGGATGCAAACAGATCAAAACGAAACTTGCAGCCTGGGAGCTTCCGGCGGCGCGTGAGGGTGCGTCCGCCGTCGGATTCCAGCGATCTCGGCGGCGATGGAAAGCTCTCGTCGATACGGTCGTCTGGGTATACTGTACGTTTCAATCGGACTTCCGGTTAGTTCTGTAGGTCAAAATATATTTCGTCTCGGTTTACCTACAGATCTTCTACTGTATTACTCAATACACCCTTCTTCAACTTGTACCAGTGGAGCAACAAGAAGAAGATAAAGCTCGAATGAGATCTAGAGAGAGAGATGGTTTCACGTGAGAATGAGACTTCTATTCTCTTCTCATGAGCTTAATGATGTATATATAGAGCTACAGTAGGGACCCTAAGGAGATTAGGAAAAGGGCTCCTTAATTAATTAGACTAACTGTGGGCCAAACCCACTCCTCTAATTAATTAAATAATATTAATGGGCCACCAACATTATATTATTGCACTCCCTTTCCCTAGCCCAAATTACATTTGAGACTCCAATAATAATTACTCGATTTACCTCCCCACGTTTAAGATATAATGTCCATTAATTAATTCGATTACTGACAATCAAGAATTAATTAATTTATTATTATTTCACCGAAGCTAGCGCTCGTTCATCACATTCTTATTATGCCGGAATTTAATCCACCTGCAGGGTTTAGCATAACAATCCTTCATGAACTCACTCCGGGGACATCATCAAACTAACGCACATGGTGACCGTAAATATCCTAACAGCACATCCTATATATAATAATATTACCCAAAACAGTAGGAATATTAATCCAGCGAACTGAACCTCACCCATGTGAATCAAAGTAATATATATTATATATATCTGCCTGTTTAATATCTTACGGGTTAAGAGAACGCAGTAATTAACCGAGGCCTAGTTCATTTACGACGATCAGTATAAAATGAACTTCTCCTCTCTGGGATCCTGTTCAATACATAAATGTACTAGTGCAACTAATCAGTCAAGACAAACTGTACAGTTGACACTACAACCGTTCGGATGGGGTGTTCATGTCCATCTAGGTTGTGAACAACTATTCTTGTTCGCAAGTAACTGATAGAGTGATCTTCGGTTCGCCCGATGATGACCCACACTATCTAAGTGCAGAACAACAGAACGTAGAACTTGTTTAAGCTAACATGATTCTCATTCATAAAGGGTAAATGTGTAATATCATGCAAAGCCAAGCTTTCAGTATATAACACTAACAATCTCCCACTTATACTTAAAGCTTCCGCTTTTACAGTATAGTCCTATCAATCCGTTATTCTAAAAGACCTATGTCGATCCTATTGCCATGCTCATGACTCCCATTCCTTTCACGTGTTTGACGAAGACCTTCCCCGGCAAACTTTTCGTGAAAGGATCAGCTAGGTTGTCCTCTGACGCAATCTTGGCAACATCAACGTCTCCTCTACCAACGATATCCCGAATCAGATGGTATTTGCGCTCTATGTGTTTGCTTGCCCTGTGGGCTCGAGGTCTTTTGAGTTCGCTACTGCTCCACTGTTATCACAGTACACGGTGATACCACGTGACAAACTCGGTATAACCTCTAAGTCCACTAAGAAGTTCCTGAGCCAAACTGCCTCTTTCGCTGCCTCTGAGGCTGCTATGTACTCGGCTTCCATGGTGGAGTCTGCCACGCATTTCTGCTTAGCACTCCTCCATGAAATGGCTCCACTTCCCAAGGTAAACACATAACCTGAGGTTGACTTACTTTCATCCTTATCTGACTGGAAATCGGAATCACTGTAACCCAGAGGTAACAAGCTGCCTGCACGGTAAACAAACATGTACTCCTTAGTCCTTCTCAGGTACTTGAGTATATGCTTCACCGCAGACCAATGTTCCCGTCCTGGATTACTTTGATATCTAGCTACCATGCCAATGGCGTAGCTAATTTCCGGCCTTGTGCATAGCATTGCATACATGAGACTTCCTACTGCCGAAGCATAAGGAACTGTCTTCATCTCCTCTATCTCCTTAGACGTCTTAGGAGACATCTCCTTAGATAGAGGTATTCCATGTCTGAAAGGTAACATACCTTTCTTGGAATCCTGCATGCTAAATCTGGCCAAGACAGTATCTATGTATGAAGACTGGGATAAGCACAACATTCTCTTCTTACGATCTCTAATGAGCCTAATACCAAGAATGTATCCTGCTTCACCTAAGTCCTTCATATCAAACTGCTTAGACAACCACACCTTTACGTCTGATAACTCCTTCTTACTGTTTCCAATATGCAGTATGTCATCTACGTAAAGCACAAGAAACACCACCGCACTCCCACTGATTTTCTTGTAAACACAGTGCTCATCTGGACATTGAGTGAACCCGTACGACTGGATCACCTCATCAAAACGGATGTTCCAAGATCTCGAAGCTTGCTTCAGTCCATAAATAGATCGATTAAGCTTACACACTAGATGCTCACGACCTTCAGCAATGAATCCCTCTGGTTGCTGCATATAGATGTCTTCTTGCAGCTTCCCATTAAGGAAAGCTATCTTGACATCCATCTGCCAGACCTCATAGTCCATATGAGCGGCTACAGCCAAGAGAATCCGAATGGACTTAAGCATAGCTACTGGCGAAAAGGTCTCATCATAATCAATACCCTCGATCTGGGTATAACCTTTCGCAACAAGCCTAGCTTTAAAGGTTTGCACCTTCCAATCCAATCCTCTCTTTCTCTTATAGATCCACTTACATCCAATGGTTCGTACCCCATCGGGTAGTTCTACAAGATCCCAGACCTGATTGGAGTCCATTGACCCCATTTCAGCTTTCATTGCAACATTCCATGAATCTGCATCTTTATCTTGGAGTGCCTCATCGTAAGTTCTTGGGTCCGATTCTAGGCCTCCTGGAACTGAGTCTGACGACTCTCCAAGACCTATCCATCGGTCGGGTAAATGAGAAACCCTCCCACTGCGACGAGGCACTGTCTGCACTGGTACACTCTCAGTGTGTCGTGTTGCAGTATTATGTGATGTATCTACTTGCGCACTCGGTGGGGAACCATCGATTTCACCCCTTAACTCCTCTAAGACTAGTCTACTCGCGGGCTTATGATTCATAATATAGTCTTCTTCCAAGAATCTAGCGTTCGTCGAAACGATCACCTTCTGATCCTCGGGACTATAAAATAATCCACCTTTCGTTCCCTTGGGATAGCCTACGAAAACTCGTGCTTCCGAACGTTTCTCCAACTTGCCAGGTTCCTGCACTAACACGTGTGCAGGACTACCCCAAACTCGAAACTGTGAGAAACTGGGCTTGCGCCCTTTCCACATCTCATAAGGGGTAGTGTCAACTGACTTCGACGGAACCATGTTCAGAATATACGATGCCGTTTCCAATGCCAAACCCCAGAACGAATCTGGTAACCTCGAATAACTCATCATAGACCTAACCATCTCCATAAGAGTCCTATTTCTTCGCTCTGCAACCCCATTCTGCTGGGGCGTGCCGGGTGCAGTCAGTTGGGATTCAATCCCAGCTTCCGATAAGTATGTCCTGAACTCTCCAAAAAGGTATTCGCCACCTCGATCAGAACGAAGTGACTTGATACATTTACCATGAAGCTTCTCCACAACTGCCCGATACTCCTTGAATTTCTCAAAGCATTCGGACTTGCGGTGCAACAGATAAACGTACCCAAATCTCGAGTAATCATCTATGAAAGACACATAGTACTCGAAACCTCCTCTAGCCTGGATCGACATAGGACCACACAAATCAGAATGAATCAATCCTAGCACTTCTTGGCTCCTATACCCCTTTGCCGTAAACGGCCTCTTGGCCATCTTACCTTCTAGGCATGATTCGCAAGTTGGATAGTGCTCTTCCAATGGACCGAGATGTCCACTGGCCACTAACTTTTGAATCCTCCTAAGGTTGATGTGTCCAAGTCTAAGGTGCCACAGATATGCTTGATTCATCTGCGAAGACTCCTTCCTCTTATTAGATGTAGTTATGACATTATTCAATTCATTATGTTGCACTGTGGGAGAGTTCGGTTTGAGAACATATAAATTGCCAACTAATGAACCACAACATATGAAACGATTTTCAAAACGAATAATAACCATGTCATCAAACGAAACTGAAAAACCATCCATAACGAGTTTAGAAACTGAAACAAGGTTCTTTCTAAAACTAGGAACATAAAGGCAATTTCTCAAAACCAAACTACTACTATCGAACGATAAAGTAACGTCTCCCACTGCAACAGCCGCCACTTTCGTAGCATTGCCCATGTAGACGGTGATCTCTCCCTCCCTAAGTCGCTTGGTTTCCTGGAACCCCTGCAAAGAATTGCAGACATGATCAGTGGCTCCAGTATCTACACACCAGGTTCTGGTAGATACAACCGCTAAACATGTTTCTACGACATTAACGAGAGAGTTACCTTTCTTGAGGAGAGGGCAATCGACCTTCCAGTGTCCTGACTTATTGCACTTGTGGCATCTTCCTTTCGGTTTCTTTGCCACAGCCTGAGGGGTCGGTCGTGGGTAAACCGGAGCATCCTGTGCCTTCGCCTTTCCTGCAGACTTCTTTCTCTTCCTGCCCTTGTGAGGCCTGGAAGGTCCAGCCTGCTCGGCGACTAGCACCTGAGGTGCTTGAGTGAATAAGGCCTCCGCCGACTGAAGCTCTGCAAGCAGTTCTGGAAGAGCCATATGCATCTTGTGCATGTTGTAGTTCAACCGGAACTGATCAAAGCTCTTCGGCAGAGATTGGAGCATAATATCAACCTGGGTTTCCCCGTCAATATAACCTCCCATAACCTCAAGCTCATTGAGCTGCGCCATAACCCTGAGGGCGTGCTCCCTTACGGGTGTGCCCTCGGCCATGCGCGTACTCATCAGAGCACTCAAAGCCTCTTGCCTAGCAGCCCTAGACTGATGTCCGAACAGATCCCTGAGATTGAGAAGTATATCTGCTGCAGTGTCCTTAGACTGATGCTGATGTTGAAGAACATTCGACATAGAAGCCAGAATGTAACACTTCGCCATCTCATCAGCCTTCTTCCACCGAGCATACTCCTCTTTCTCCTGCTCAGGAGCATCAGCCGCCGGCACCGCCGGACAAGCATCAGTGATAGCAAACTTATAACCCTCAGCAGTCAACACTATGTCTAAGTTCCTCTTCCAATCAATGTAATTAGGACCAGTAAGTTGATTTTCTTTTAGAATGACAGACAACGGATTGAACGACATGATGAATATCCTGAGAATCATGCAAATAAATTTTACAGATTAAACACTTTTGAATTTAACTGTTAATATTGATATCCTCAAAACAACATTAACTTAAATCCACCGACATCTATTACACCTTGTGAGAATGCATGCTACGAGGGTCGCCCTACAAACTCGCATTTTGTAAGAGAAGGGCTTTTCTAAGGCCCATTAATTTCCATAAGTCAAAACCAAATTCATGACGAACGAAATTAATAGTCGGTCTCCATTTGGCCATGCAATAGAATTCAGGGACCCCGAGGGGGGTTAATAAATTTAATCGCATTCTAAGTGAATCCCATTTCTCGGTCCTAAGGTCGTCAAATTTGATTATACGTCATCCGAGGGGAAGCCCGTACGCTCTCATAAGATTTCCTCTAACCGTCTACTTTTAGAAATTTGTCCTGGTAATTTCCTACAATTAATTTTAGCAATGTCACCCGAGGGGGAGCCCATAACCGCAATTAATTGATTTACCGACAAATTAAAAATGGAGGCCTTAGGAATTTTACAATTAACTTTAATTTAAAATCCCTTCTCAAACTTAGTATAATTTAATGAGGATTTTTAACTATTTATACAATTCCAAATTAATCTATGTTAATGCAATAATTAATTAACATGCATATTAATTCATGCAATTCTAAATTAATCTATGTCATGCAATAATTAATTAACATGTTCAATAATTTATGCAATTCTAAATTAATCCATGCCAGTGCAATAATTAATTACATGCATAATTTATTGACACAATTCTAAATTAATTCTATGCATTACATAATTAATTAACATGCATAATTAATCTAGCAATATTAAATTAATCCCATGCAAGAACATTAATTAACATGCATAAATAATAATTTAATGGCATAATAAATTTAATTAAATAAATAAATAAATCCACTATTATGGCCATTAAATATTGAGTCTCCTTAAACAAGGAAACTGTGACAGTTCTTTTCCCTGTTCAACTGGAACTCCTTTAAGCAGTAGAATCCTGGTTGATCTTGTACTGCTTGGACAACAAGGCAAAAACACCAGCTACCAGCCGCCACCTGCCGCCGCCACCAGCCACCGCCGGTTCGCCGGCCGCCGCCACCAGTTCGCCGGAAAAACGCCGATTTTTTTTTTTTTTAATTCTTCGAGGCTCGTTGATCTCTTGTGATCTCCCGGTTATCAACACACGATCACAACACGAAAAATATAATTTACAAAATTACATCATTCGATCCTAGATCCAACGAATGGATGTATATGTTTTCTAAACAAATAATTAAATCTATCCGGTCAACCCCCGGGCGAATAATTATTACAAACATTCATCCCTAAGTTCCTTGACATGCCCGAGGCTTTAAAAACAAATTTAAAACCGTACATCACATTCAACAACATTCATCAAACACATAATCGACCATAATAGTGGATTAACTATTTTCCTGCAAAACCGAGTTATGCAAATATAATCCAATATATGGCTGCGTTTGAACACATCTTGTCAAATAAAGCCGTAAAAATTCGAACTTTGTACAAAACGAATTAACCAAGTGCTCTGATACCACTTGTTGGGATCTGTGAGGATCTCGTTATGTACAAATCATGAATTCAATAGCAAACGTAAACCTATGCGCAGCGGATCTAAAGGTTTGACGTAGAGAACTTACGGCTTAAAATTTATGTAGATCTGGTTGACCACGAACGGTTGACCGCAATTGATTGACCGAAAATCACGTCTTGGGTTGCGCGAACAAGATCAGATCAAATCCGGATCAAACGGATGCAAACAGATCAAAACAAAACTTGCAGCCTGGGAGCTTCCGGCGGCGCGTGAGGGCGCGTCCGGCATCGGATTCCGGCGATCTCGGCGGCTATGGAAAGCTCTCGTTGAGACGGTCGTCTGAGTATACTGTACGTCTCAATCGGACTTCCGGTTAGTTCTGTAGGTCAAAATATATTTCGTCTCGGTTTACCTACAGATCTTCTACTGTATTATTACTCAATACACCCTTCTTCAACTTGTACTAGTGGAGCAACAAGAAGAAGATAAAGCTCGAATGAGATCTAGAGAGAGAGGCGTGTTTCACGTGAGAATGAGACTTCTGTTCTCTTCTCATGAGCTTAATGATGTATATATAGAGCTACAGTAGGGACCCTAAGGAGATTAGGAAAAGGGCTCCTTAATTAATTAGACTAACTGTGGGCCAAACCCACTCCTCTAATTAATTAAATAATATTAATGGGCCACCAACATTATATTATTGCACTCCCTTTCCCTAGCCCAAATTACATTTGAGACTCCAATAATAATTACTCGATTTACCTCCCCACGTTTAAGATATAATGTCCATTAATTAATTCGATTACTGACAATCAAGAATTAATTAATTTATTATTATTTCACCGAAGCTAGCGCTCGTTCATCACATTCTTATTATGCCGGAATTTAATCCACCTGCAGGGTTTAGCATAACAATCCTTCATGAACTCACTCCGGGGACATCATCAAACTAACGCACATGGTGACCGTAAATATCCTAACAGCACATCCTATATATAATAATATTACCCAAAACAGTAGGAATATTAATCCAGCGAACTGAACTTCACCCATGTGAATCAAAATTATATATATTATATATATCTGCCTGTTTAATATCTTACGGGTTAAGAGAACGCAGTAATTAACCGAGGCCTAGTTCATTTACGACGATCAGTATAAAATGAACTTCTTCTCTCTGGGATCCTGTTCAATACATAAATGTACTAGTGCAACTAATCAGTCAAGACAAACTGTACAGTTGACACTACAACCGTTCGGATGGGGTGTTCATGTCCATCTAGGTTGTGAACAACTATTCTTGTTCGCAAGTAACTGATAGAGTGATCTTCGGTTCGCCCGATGACGACCCACACTATCTAAGTGCAGAACAACAGAACGTAGAACTTGTTTAAGCTAACATGATTCTCATTCATAAAGGGTAAATGTGTAATATCATGCAAAGCCAAGCTTTCAGTATATAACACTAACAAGGGGAAGAGACTCCATCCGGCAGAGCACTTGGGTACTCGCCGTCAGAGTGTGGCTGGAGAGCTATAGGCTCAGTCGAAATCTCAATCTCCGCAGAGGGGAGGTGAGCCGGCAATTCCCCTTTCGAGGAAGCGGTGGCAGGAGCCGTCCTCATCTCCAGAGAGCAATCCTGGCTATGTGGGAGGACAGACAAAGGGACAACATCACGAATGCTGTCATGAGATAAATGGGTGGCCGGGCTAATGGCCGAAGTGGCCGGCTGCTCTAGATCATCTACTAGGAGGTCGTCGTCCTCTAAAAGGCCAAGATCCGAGAGACCGTGTGGGTCCCTAGAGGAGGGCTCAGCCTCATCCTTTCACTCAGGGGAGAGGGGTGCAAAGAACGAGTGTTTGGCCTTGAAGGCCGACTGAAGTGTCTCTCTGGGAATAAATTCCGTAGCCTTGGCCTTGGGCCCAACTATGATCAATCGGTCTGACTGGTCAGGATGAGCATCCTTCCCAGTTTGAGCAGTGGCGTCCATCTTCGCCTTGCCCTTATCCGTGGACCCCTTTGGGGACCCGGGTGTCTGGAGAGGGCCTTTGCCCTTTCCCTTCGGTTCCCTCCAGCTGTTGGAGGGTCCCGGCTGGGCCGTACGACGGCGCTGAGGAGGAGCGTGTCGTGGCTTATTGCCACTGATATATAGCAGTCGGCCGCTATATGACCAACATGACTGCACGCAGAACAGAAAGCGGGGATCTTCTCGTAGATCACCCGCTGAGCAAAGGTCTCCGAACCCTGCTCAATCTCAATCTCGTGGATAGGCTCCACTCTAAGATCAATCTCGACACAGAACCGCGCCATATTAGCCCTAGACTGGAGAACAGTCGGGGCATCAATGCGAACCGGTTTTCCGACACACTTAGCAAGTGTGGTGATGGAATCTCGGTCATACAGATGTGGTGGAAGGCTGGGGAGGCGGCACCACACGGGGACGACCGGCGTCTCTGTCTTCGAGTTGAACCCGGAAGTGTACTTGAATACCCTAACTAGGCATCCACACACAGAAATAGAAGTCCTAAGCCATGCCTTATTATATCTTCGGAGAGATTAAAAGAGACTAGAAGATGATTGAAGTTATACCACTTAAATGAGAACCTACCCTTAAATCCCAATTTTCCTAATCCAGCAGCTAGGTCTCGGAGGGGAGGGATACCATAGGTGAACTTAAAGACCAGTGTGTTCGCTAACTTACCTACGAGGGTGTCAGCTTCGGCCTGTGAGAATCGAACCTTCACTCTGTTCCCCTCCGAGCGGATGATGGTCCCGCAAGCGTGGTCATAGTCCCCGTCAAAGATAAACTCCTTGGGTGTCGGCCGCGGGGTACACGAGCCGCCTTCTCTCCTCCCGGTAATAGCCTCCCGGAAGGAAATCGGGCCATTGGAGGTGGCCGGAAGTGGTCCGGCTGCGGTGGGGTTGGTCGATGAGGTACCCGTTGGAGGAGGCCCATTCGGGGAATGTCCGGAAAAATGGATTGCGGTCGACGAGCTCGGGCCCGTAGTAACTACTCTGTCTTCACGCACATATAATATGTTCGGTTCATGTTTCCCGGCAGCAGCGGAGGTTATTCCGGCGAGTTGATCGGTCGGAGGAGGTGACATTGGCCGAGGTCCGAGGATTTCGGCTGTAAGTGAAGCTTCCGAAACATCCCTCGGTTTAGAGCCGGCCGGCAGGCTTTTTCCGGTGGTCGCGGATGCACCGGTGTCGGCGACATTCCGGTGGGCTGTGTCGGATGGTTTGGTGGTGGTGACGGCAAGAGAGGCTGCCTGAGAAGATGTTTTGGTGATGGCGGGCTGTGTGGGGTGATTAATTATGGAGGTGGGCTTGGGAATGACATGACCCGTGGGCTGGGATTTTGGTTTGATGGCGGGCTGATTATGGAACGAGGGAGTTGAGACGGGCTGAAAAATGGGGGTTGAGGAAGAAAGAGGTAATGGGCCCGTCTGTTGATTGAGAGGTTCAGCAAGAGTGGGAAATGATACTTGCGGATTAGGCCCAAACGGGATGTGGTAAGTTGGCCCAATGGATGATTGGTTCGCCACGTGTAGGGATGTGATTTTGTCCCCTTCAATGAGGAGCTGAGGGTTTTCGTCTTGTGTTTCGCCGCTTTTCAAGGTGGTTTTCTGAATGACCGACGACAACTTCAAAGGCTGAGTTCCGACTGCAAGGTCCCAAAACCGGTCTCTGAAATTCCGGCGACGGTGCCGCTCGGCGAATCTTCAACCGAAGGAGTGATTTCCCCTTCTTCCAAATCACTGATTCTGATCAAAAGCTTCTCGATGGGTTGAAGTCTTCTTGCACCAGATGTTATCTTCTCCGGCGCCCAATTCCCAAAAACCGGCCGCAAATCTGAATTTGTGTCATTGGGACTGGTCGTCTTCATGGTCACAGAGGGATGAGAATCCCCTTTTTCAAGACTAGAATGTCTGCCCAGGAAATTCGCGACAATATGTTGGAATTCTGGGAGTTTGAGTAAGCTAAGAAAATCCGTTGAGAGATTAGCTGGAGCTTGGGGGGGCTGAGATGAG